GCTCGGCCTACGAGTGCCTCAGCGAGGTGGGCGAGCGTGGCCTGGCCGAGTTCCGAGACGTGAGTAGCGGCGACGGGGCCCGGGCGCCCGGCGGGGCTTTCTGGGAGAATGGGGGAGGTAGAAGGACCCCGGGGGGGCCCGGCGGGTGGGCGACGCGGGGAAAGCCGAGCCGGGCAGAGTAGTTGCCGTCGGGAAGGTGCAGTTTCATTCCGATGGTGCGATCTAAAAGACTCCAAGACCGCTTCTCTTCCTGCTTTCCCCGACTCTGACTTGCAGATGTATGGCTGACAGCTATATCGCATTTGCCTGAAAGCGAGATTGGGTGATGCAAAGTCCGTGTACAGCCCCAGCCGCCCCGCGACTCGGGGGGGGGGCGCGTTTTGGGATGACTGTATCCTACCTCTCTCACAGAAGTAGTTTAAACTTGGGGGTTTTTTGCAGTAGGATCCCGTGGGAGGGCCCATTACCCACCTGAAGCCGCACTGACTGTACTCTGAGTGTATGTGCACAGCTATCGATGTGTCCACCCCGTTGACAGATCGATAGAAACATCTTAGCTCTTCTCTAGGCTTATTTCTTCAACATCGCAGCCTGCTGTTTGTAAAACATGTCTGTTCCTGGAGGAGTAATTCACCTTGGAGGAAACTACATGCCTGACTAACATAAAATTGGGTCGGGTAATAATTAACCTTGTTTCTGCATTGTCTCATCGTAATTATATGATCTTTGCTTGCTGACTGAGACTTTGGAATTTCTTCCAAGTATTCTTCAGAAATGTAGGTTGAAAAATCTTTGCAAGGAAAGCTGGGAGAACTTAAATTAACACCTAATTAGTAAATATGACAGGTAGGAGGACACAAATCTGTAAGAATCATTACATGGCTGTTATGTTTAATATGTTGATGCCATTCCAGGTATCTGACACACCATTTATTCTAGAAATAACATAGTAGTGGGTCTGATGTAAAAGCTGAATACGTAGTCAGCGACATTGCGCACTCGTAATACAGGGATGTACGTAAAAAGATTCTTTCGAAACTTAACATTTCAAGTAGATTCTGTGGAAATCCATCGCAAAAATTTGCTTGTAGAAAGGTTGGTTTGTTAATTTGAAGTCGTTAAGCAGTATTTTAAAACTCTAGAAATCAGATTAGGAATGGTTTCTCCAGTAGATCTAGTTATTCTGTTATTTGAGTAAAACGAGCAAAAGGCATTGATAATTCCGCTTTAATAAAACCAACCTTGCTATTTGAAGACTTTTTAATCCTTTTAGGTTTTCATACCTTCTTAGCTGAAAAGCACTTTGTAGAAAGAGAGCACGTAGAATACGTGCAAAATTGTCTACGTGAAGTCACAGAAATAGCTGTGGTTTTTTAGGGGTGGTTGCTGTTTTAAATACTTAATAAGCATTTTGTTCTTCTCCTTCAGCTTAACCCAAATGTAAGTGTATTTCAGAGAAAATTTGTGAATGAAGTAAAGAAGTGTGAAGAAATGGAAAGAATACTTGGTGAGCTTTACTTTCATGTCTGCCCTTTCTCATCCGTGGCATTATTAAAGTTTACATCGCTAGAGTGGAACTACAGTGGAGGTTTCAGCTACAGTTTTTTTTAATCTTCCCAGTCTTGTATTATCTGAGTGCTGTAGAATCTTATAAAATTTTCATATGTATGAAAAAATACGCATACATACACTCATATGTAGAGTCTTTACGTAGGTTTTTGGAGCCGGAGATGACTTGACTATAGCACTGAATTGGGTCAGAACGTACACATATATTCCTTAATTTGGGTTGATATGCTGCAGCAGTTTTGAGTGTGTCACAGAGTCGTTTAGGTTGGAAGGGACCTCTTGAGATCACCTAGTCAACCTCCAGCTCAAGCAGGGGCAGCTAGAGCCGGTTGTCCAGGACTGTGGCTAGTGGGATTTTTAATACGGAGACTCCACAACCTCTCTGGGCAACCTGTTCCAGTGTTTTACCACTGACCTCAGTTTCTCGGTTTTGTGAGCTGTAAAATTTACTTACACTACAACATGTATGTGCTAAATATAGGTTGGGGTTTTTTAAGCTCAGAGGTGCAGAAGAGTTGCTAATGTGTTGATGATAAATAGTTGAGAGAATTTCAGTATTGACTGCTTAAAACTCTGCTAGGAAAATGGAAGCTTTACCCTGGATATTTCCTTGACTATAAGATAAACTCTGTTTTTCATGTTACATAACTCAATACTGTTGAACTTCCAAGCGCCCTCAAAAATACCTCAAGTTATTAATAATTGGATTCACATGGTGGTTAATGAATAGAGAAGAGTGTTGTAATGCTCTACATAAAGATGCAAATTTCTTCAATGTATCCCGAAGAAAAGTTACCGTTGAAGGATTCTTTTCATTGGAATCTCTCATCAGGGGCATATGCTGGTCATGCCAAACCATCCCCGTAGCTATTTTGGCAATCTCCCTGCCCAGCGTGAGTTGTATTTGTTGTCGAGGTTGCTTAAGCCAACTTCTTTGAACGCTCTTTATTCCAAATGTGGGTCAATGAGCAGATCATCAATTTTTGGCAGGTGGCACGATTAGCAGAAAATGATATCTTACAGCATCGGAGAGATACTATGAAATGTTAAAAGCTTCTTAAAAAGTACTTGTGGTTGGAAAATTTCAGTCAGAGGACTCTGAAGATAGCTTACTTTCGCAAACTTCTAAGACAGAAATGTTCTGTGTATTTTATTCCTAGCACTCCATAAGCCCCTCCTTTTTCCTCCCTGGAGGGTCTTCTCTCTTGCCTTGCAGTCTTTTTGAAGACCCTAGCGTGTGTGTTGTTGCTAAAATAAATGAATAAAATAGCTAGGGCCTGATGCCACAGTGTGATCAGCACCATCAATAACAGCTGAAGGTCAACTTATGCAGCATTCTAGGAAGCATAAGGCAATACCGTTTCCTTTTTGATTTTGTTTTTCTTCTCACTCCAGGGTATTTAGTACAAGAAATTAAAAAAGCGGATATTCCACTTCCTGAAGGAGATGTTGCTCCTCCTGCCCCCTTGCTGAAACACATTTTAGAAATCCAGGTAACTTTTCCACACCACAGGTGCCAAAGGTGTAGCTCTGGATCTTGGAACTTTATTTCAAACTTAATTACTTGCTATCTTACTACTTACGACTTAAGTTGTAGGGGCATGGCAGGGGGAGCAGAAGCTTTTGCTTTCGTTTTTGCCCATTTTTTTTTCTTTCTGCCAGTGTTACTTCAAAGACTGAGGCAGACTATCTTTGGCAGACTGAGGAATAAAACCTATGGAGCTTAAGTTAATTAAGAAATTGGGAAACTCCCATCATTGCAGCTAATTAACATGTGCTTAAAATTCATCCTCCCCTGGTTTCCAAAACAGTATAACTGATTCTGTGTCATTTTTTCTCCATGTCTTAGGAACAGTTGCAGAAACTGGAGACAGAATTAAGGGAAGTAACTAAAAACAAAGAAAAGTTGAGGAAAAACCTGCTTGAACTGACAGAATACACATGCATGTTAGAGGTCACGCAGAGATTTGTCAGGAGAACAGCTGAGGTACTGCTTATGTTGTTTGGCGAGGATTGTGTGTCACGTGGCGTTTTTGTTGCATGCTGTTAGTAGTTCTAGTTAAGTGCGTGACTTGGTGTCGGGCTTTACGGCACTGTACGTTGTTCGTTATTGTTTGTGATCAGTACCTAGAGAACCTGGCTGGCAACCTCTCGTGCTAGGCTGCGCTCATATACATAGCAAAATGCAGCCCTGAACTTGGAGGAGCTTTGTGATTTCTCTGTTGAATTGTTTGAACGTTACTGCTGATGCCAACTGAAAATGAAGGCGTATTTGTGTTATTTTGATGCATAAATTGTACTAAGAAATTTACCGTGTAACTTTTGCAACACTGACTATAATTGCTAAGAGGAGTGCACTTGAGATCCCAGGATCTTTCTGTTGTCTGAATTGAACACAGGAAAGGGGTCTATATTTTTATTGAAATAATTTACTTAATTAGCTTTTCTTCTTCCGAATAATAAATGAATGAAATTTTTGTTTTTTCTGAAAGCTATGAATGATCTTTCTTTTATTTGCTAGTATGAATCCCATTTACATGCAAATTATGAAGAATTTCCATCTGTGGAAAACAAGCCATTAGTGGATTACAACTGTATGCACAGACTGGGTGCCAAGCTGGGGTAGGTATGGTTCAGTCCACGCATGGCAGGTTGTCAGTGTGTGCTGTTTCAAAACTGCTTGATGGGCTGCTGTAAATCATGGGCTGTTTTCTTAAAAGGTGGGATGTAGTGTGACTGTAGTGATTTCAGGAGAGCCAAACAGTTTTAGACAGGGTCGGGGTCTGGCCCAAATGTACCTTTGTAACCAAATTGGATTATTTGAAGAGAGAAGTAGGACAGCACCAAAAAAACTGTCACAAAACTTCCATCAAACCAAGTATGTATGTTAAGAAAAATCTCTACATGCTCTAAATCGGTACTTTCCTCCACTCTGGTTTTTTAGGATAAACACACAGTGTTTTAATCACTTGGCAGTGTCAGTTGTAAATGTAACATTATAATGGTAGTGCCTACTTGCCTTTAAAATGATGTATGGATACTGCTCTCTACAACACCATCCTGAGAGAAAAAAATCTTTTTTTATCCACCATCTTACCAAGAAAAAATTAAGAACCTTACTATCACAGACTGAAACGATGTTGGATTTAATTCTAGTTGTGTGCTCAGGCCCGCAGTCTGTTTGTTTTCCAAATAGAGATTGAGTCTACTTTATATACTAGTTACTTCCTGGTTAGGGTGATGCTTCCTTCTCTAGAGATGGCAGACGTTAAATTATTGTGATCCCGAGTGATGATGTACTCTGAGTTTTTAATTTTTCTTGTGGATTTTAGCTGATTTTTCAAATTTTTCTTTTTCCATAGGTTCATATCTGGGTTAGTTCACATAGCAAAAGTGGAAGCATTTGAAAAAATGCTGTGGAGAGTCTGTAAAGGATATACTATTCTTACCTATGCAGAGTTGGATGAATGTCTGGAAGATCCAGATACAGTGAGTAAACATTGTAACTATCAGTTTATTTTGTTTGTACTTTCTATAAGATTTGGAAGAATTGCTGCTCAGGTCTCCTGCAATGAATGTAAATGATTTCCCAGTGTCCTTGGAGGGAAAACTATTTTAAAGTATTAGAACTTGTAAGACTTTAAAATTAGAGGTCTTGATGCCACCATAACTATAGGAGTGGCAATTAATTTATCATGGTTCAGCTTGATGAGCGCAGAACTTTATTGTGGAATAGTAATGACTTTATGATTGGCTACCTTGATCAAAATACGTGGCATAAATGGCTGCTTGGATATTTATTAACTAGGTCTGTACAGTGCGTTACCTTTTAATAGTAATTTTATTTGTTAATTCAGCAGTTATGGAAAAAAAGTCTGGAGTACAGCTGGTCTTCTATGAAGTTTTTTCTCTGAACTTATAAAATTCACTTTTTGTAAATCAGCAATTATGGCTGCCTAATCTGTCACTTTTAAATTTTGCTTCAATTCTGATTTGGAACATTTTAATTTTTTAAGACTTTTTTTGTTATTATATTTTACCATCTCAGAATTATTATTGTCTCTTTAATTTTCCCTGAAAACTTTTTCTGTTTTTCTTTAATATAAAAAAAAAAAGACAGATGTTGGCACACTTGGATTTTATTTTTTGATCTTCACTAAAATGGTGGAAGCTTAATGCTACTAACACAGCCTTTTCTAATTATTTGAACTTGTTATTTTGCTCTGTAATTATATCACAGTGGAGTTGTTGGTTAAAACCAAACTTCGACTTAACTTTTTTTTTTTTTAGGGCGAAACCACAAAATGGTTTGTTTTTTTAGTGTCCTATTGGGGTGAACAAATTGGCCAGAAAGTTAAGAAGATTTGTGATTGGTAAGAAGTAAAACTAATATGTATAGTTTCTTTATACCTGGGTTATTTTCTTGTTAGTTTTCCCCCTGCTCCCCTTCCTTGTAAGTGTTGATTTTTAGGCAAGGTTTTTGAAGTTAAATTTGTTCCTCACCCCCTTGCATCTAGGTTTATAATTATGCAATATACAAATAAATGTATGAATCATTTTATCTGCAGTCCTTATTAAGTACAGGCAAAATACTGACTCTCTCAGTTGAATCTGTTCTGTGGTTATTAAATGGTGTGTTGCAGGCTTGACCAGGGCATGGGGTTGGGTGATTTGTTTTGTTTTAGTTTGGTTATTTAACACAAACTTCTGTTTTTCTGTAGCTATCACTGTCATGTGTATCCCTATCCAAACACCATGGAGGAGCGCAAGGCAGTTGTTGAAGGACTAAATGTTCGTATTCAGGATCTTCATACTGTGAGTAAATAACAGTATTCCCTTTGCTGTAGCTTTTACACCATAGGAAATAATTTGACGAATCACAGCATTAAATACATGAATATGTTTCTAAAATACATACAGCTTTGGATCTGAACATGATTGTACGTCATGTCCCTAGTCTCGCGTTGCATGTATCTATTAAACTTCAGGGCACTTGGCATTGCCTTCCGTTTTAAGCAGTGGTTAGTGTGGCCTCCTACCAATGTGATCCAGCATCGGACAAATACTAGCTGCTCTTAACTGTGGTTAACATAACCACTGTTACATTTTTCAATGAAATCTTTTTGTTTTTTTTTCTTGGACAAAGGTGCTGCATAAAACTGAGGATTACTTATGCCAAGTCTTGTGTAAAGCATCTGAATCCATCTATACGTGGGTTATCCAAGTGAAAAAGATGAAAGCCATTTATCATGTACTCAACCTGTGCAGTTTTGATGTCACAAATAAATGTTTAATCGCTGAGGTTTGGTGTCCGGTGGCTGATCTGCAAAATTTGCGCCATGCGTTGGAGGAAGGTTCAGTAAGTCAGCTGAATGCTCACTGATGTTAAAACTTTTGTCTTGAACTTACTATACAGATAAGGAAAGAAAATAATTATTTAAAATAGGCTAAAAGTAGGCACAGGCAAGTCTGGGTCTCTATGAACTCATATCAAACAATTTCTTTATAAGCAGAGCCTTTATTTAGTGTTGTGGGGGGGTTTTGTTTGTTTTGGGTTTTTTTGTTTGGTTAGTTTTTTTCCTTGAATGAGAACTTCTGTGTTGGACCCAAGTCTGACTAGGCTCACAGTGCTGTTTGTAGGCAAGTAGAAGGTGCTAATTTCCTTGTGTTAGTTGTGTTGAGCACGGCTCCGTCTTTTTGTTTTACAAGAGGGAATTTTTAGTAACAAATCTTTGTTTTATAATATTGACTCATGATTTTCATGTGATATTTCGTATAAAATAAGGATTAGAACACTGTACATAATTAGTGTTTTTAGAGGAACAGATTAATGTAATTTTTTTTTTTTAAAGCAAGCAGAAACGGATAAATGTTAAGCTTCGGGCTTAATTTAGGGATGTTTCAGGATCAGTGAAACTGCTGATGGAAATTTTTTCACTTTGATTAGATTAAGTATCAACTGAGTTTTTATATAAATGTATCTTCTTTCTGTCTGCAATTAGAGGAAGAGTGGAGCTACAATTTCTTCATTCATGAATACCATCCCAACAACACAACCTCCTCCAACTTTGATACGTACCAATAAATTCACCTCAGGGTTCCAAAACATTGTTGATGCTTATGGAGTTGGAAACTATGGAGAAGTTAATCCAGGTTGGTCCTTCTGAAATCCAAACTGCGAGCTGTGCTGTCGTTACTGCTTGCCTTGTTATGTGTTTAAATACCTTGCTGAATTGGACACTAGTAAAGGCAAAACGGTGACCACCACGCTGCTTATTAGTAGCTGTTTTAAAATTTCAGTAGGTCATCAAAAGTACAAATGGTGCTCCAAGCAGTAAGATGGGATTTGATTTTGCTGAGTTATTTTAGCATTGAAGAGACTGATAATAGCTGTATAATGTTTCTTTATACGCTTTACCTTGGATAAGGTAAGATATTTAGGGGAAAAAAGAAAACTTTGGTAATGGCTATTGGTATTACTGAAGCATGGAGCTCATCACTTGAAAAAATCCAGCTTGTTGTATAGCCCAGTTAGTTTAATGTCCTTATGTATTTTTGCAGCTATGTTGACTATGTCATGCTGTACAGGAGAATGTACACTATAGTACGGAGCCAAAATAGCCACGGAGGAAGAACTGTTTGTTTGGTTTTTATTTCCTGGGCTCATATTATTATCCTCAGAATTGTCAGCTAATGCTCAACTGCAGAGTTGTCATTACTAAGGGATATACATAAGCAAGCTTTAAACTGAGTTAAATTTATAGTGGGGGGGAAAGGTCTATTAGCAGGGGGTGAAATGTCTTTCAAACTTAAAGCTGAAAATTGTTTGAGAAGTTAAAGTAGTTGAATTGCTTAGGCATAATTCAGATAGCAACATCATCTATTGTGCTGTGTGCTTGAAATCTGTGATGTTGTCATTTCAGCTCTCTATACCATCATCACTTTTCCTTTCTTGTTTGCGGTTATGTTTGGAGACTTTGGGCATGGTCTACTAATGTTCATATTTGCACTCCTGACAATACTATATGAAAACCACCCTAGATTACAAAGATCACAAGATGAGGTAAAAGGAATTACAAATAATTTACTCCCCATCCAGCAAGATAACTTCAATTGAATAATTACTGTGTTTCTGAAAAGTACTATTTATTGCACATGTATTAGACCGGAGTTTTTTTCCTTTGTTTCGGGATTGTCTGTATTTAAAGTTGCCATATTACTCGAGATTAATGTGATATCTTAACAAACTATTCACTTTTTTTGAAAGGGCAGAAATAATCAAGTTGGAATGAAAGACTGACAAAAATTAGTTGATACTGTTGGGCTTGTCATTCCTTCTGCTAGGGCTACTTAGTGATGTTTCGGGATTGTCTGTATTTAAAGTTGCCATATTACTCGAGATTAATGTGATATCTTAACAAACTATTCACTTTTTTTGAAAGGGCAGAAATAAGTTGGAATGAAAGACTGACAAAAGTTAGTTGATACTGTTGGACTTGTCTTTCCTTCTGCTAGGGCTGCTTAGTGATGTGTGTGTTTTACAGAATGTGGTTACCAGTGACTAACGTTAGGAGAAAATGATTTTTCAAATTCCATCTTCTTTTATGGTTTCTGAAAAGGAGTTGTAGTTTGAAATTTATTAAACTTAATTTTAACTAATTTTTTAATATGGGGTTGGAATGCAGGAACATGTGCATCTCTCATTAGAATTATGTTTAATTAAGAATAGCTGCAAATGACTAACTTCTTGAAAACTAGTCCCGGGAAGGAAACGTGGTTTAAAAAGACTATTCGTTAGTGTAACGATGCCAATGAGAAAAGTCTCAGTCCGTGTCGTGGGAGCTTGCATGGGGACTTCAAATCTCTGCATTCAATTTAAACCACAATTGTCTTTCAGAATATACTTGCCGCTAGCTCTACTTCCTAATGCATATAAACCTTTGCATATAAATCTCTTGACATAAAGCTGTGAATGTGAGGAGATGAACTGCACCCATTTGGTGACTGCCATTTGTAGACTGCATATTCACATGCTTAAAGCAAAATTCTCTGTGTTACATCTTGGTTGGCCGTAGGTTTCTTCATATTCCTTAATGACTATTCACAAGAATTTTTAGTTTTTAGAAGTCTTGGTATTGCCAAAAATGTGTTTCTCTTAGAAATGTGTAGATAACGATCGTTCACATAGCAGATGATGTTCTCTATTTTTTCTTTTTTCCAATACTTACAGATAATGAAAATGCTATTTGAAGGCCGATATGTTATTTTATTAATGGGTCTGTTTTCTGTATACACTGGATTGATCTATAATGACTGTTTTTCAAAGTCATTAAATATATTTGGTTCTGGATGGAATGTTTCAGCAATGTTTGAACAGAAGGTTTGGCGGTGAGTAGCATGCCTCTGTTTGCTATACCATTAAAACAAAAATGTACTTCCTGTAACAGTTCAGCCCTTTTGCTCACCCATTTTAACCGTCCTTTTATTGAGAGTAGTAAATAAATGTAGTGAAATCTAGCAAAATTTAGTTGTTAAGGTAGTAAGTGCTAGTGCGCTAAGGGCTAAGTGATACATCTATGCTTAAAATAAAAAAGGCAGTAATAGTTATTTAAAAACAAAAAAAATTGAACCGTTTATTATCCTAAATTGGGCAGTCCACAGAGAACACAATATCTTGCAAAACCACTATTAGAATTTGATTATATTTAATTCAGTCAATCTATCAGATTAATCTCGTATTTATCAGTGCTGCTTTACTGGATTTACATGTCCTCAGTCACCTGGAACATTTTCTAGAATATTATAACTTGGTATAGATGACAATCAGTCTTCTCCTGGAACAAATTCTGTTGCAATACCCTAATGCTATATGCTAGCTAATAACTTTCAGTGATTAAAAACTGCAACTGGCGTAGTATCGTTTTATTGGTAGTAAGAACTTGCACCTAGTTTTATGAGGTGATATTTTTAGGGTTTATTCAGTCTCTAAACCTTCTTAGGTGTGTTTTGCACCTTTTTTTGTCGTCTCACAAAGGTGTTCTTATGAATGGCTGGAGACTTCAGTAGTGTTGTAAAATCCTAACAGGAGGCACCAGGACTTTGTCTTGTTGTGTATTCTTTTTATTCATAAAAAGCATACTGCCTCCTATGTTATGGTTTGTCTTTATGCTAATGGCTTTAATTTGTCTCCAGTTACTATATTTTCCAGGGGAGGTTTCTGAATATCTGTATCTATATAGCTATCAGATTTTGAGAGGAATAGAAAACACAGGGCTAGTTTTGGAGAAATTTGTCCTAGGTCATGCTTCTGGCATGAATAGCCAAGCAGCATTAGCATCTACTGTAAAGAAATTAACAATTAATGAAATAAATTAATTACCTAGCAATCATTAGTCTTTGCACAGCTTTTCTTGATAGAAGAAAAAGAAAAAAGTAGGTATGTGAATTATCAGACCTACTTTTTCACAAAGTGGGATAACCTCATTGTTTTGAGGTGTCATGGCCCTTTGGTATTTAAATGTTCACAGCTTGCATCTCATTTTGCCTCAAAACCAGAAAGTGACTTGAAATAGTAGAGTCAAAACCACTGGCTTTGGTTAAAATGTGAACAGATTGTGAGTGCTGTGTTAATTAAAAGCTATATGAAGTTAGAGTGGAAACTCATCCAAATGCAAAAGGGAAAAAAGATACCAATTATTCTTTGGGTGTTTGTTAGTGATTTTTATATAAAAGCAAAATGTGAGCTTTTTATATGAAACTTTCCATTCTAGGGGAATGAGGAACAAAATCCAGAAACTTTCCTTTCAAAGGCAGTTAGTGCGAATTAAGGCCAGATTGTGAGTTTCTAGAACTTCTTTTATTTTGTTATTGTTTTTATTAGCCAGGCCTTTTGTGCTTAGAAGTCCTTTTATTCTTCTTTTAAAGACTGGCAGTGGGTGAGCTAGTCATATAAAGGAAAGCAGGAGTAGTGTCCTGCAGAACTGAAAGCATATGTTGTCACTATGTTTAAACAATGTCAGATATGATTGTGTTTTTCTTTCTCTGCAGTCTTGAGGATCTCAAGTCTAATCAATTTTTAACACTGGATCCAAATGTTACTGGTGTGTACAATGGAGCTTATCCCTTTGGAATTGATCCGGTTAGTTTTATGCTTTTAAGTTATCCATTTGTGATGATCAGTCATTTGTAAATTAGATTTTGGTATGTGCATTAGGAAGATAAACGTACTGTGGAAAAAATACATTTCTGCTTGTATTCTCCATTCAAAAAGAGCTTTTCCCTTAATGAGTCAAAGATTTAACTGTTTTCATGAAACTCAAATTTCAGTTATGATCCCCGTTTGAGGTAGAATTCTGGTCTCCAATAGGGATAGGATACTGTCTTATTTCTTCTGTTACACTGTTCTTTAATGCTGATTTTGTCTTCTCTTCTTCAGATCTGGAATTTGGCAAGCAACCGTCTCAGTTTTTTAAATTCTTTCAAAATGAAAATGTCTGTGATTTTTGGAGTAACTCACATGACGTTTGGAGTTGTATTGGGGGTATTTAACCACTTGTAAGTACAAGAAGTTAAGATAATACTGATGTTACAGTTTTTTTTCAGGTCTTGAATTATAACAGTTAATCTGGTAAGGGAAACTGGAACAATTTTTTAAAAGCAGAATAACAGTATTGTGAAAACTGTTCTTAAAAAAAATAAATAAGAGAGGTCTTCCGTCACACACATAAGATGATGGATCAGTATTATGCCAAAAATATGAAGACATCGATTAATACAAGATTTTATTTCACTTGTTGCAAAATAGAAATACATGCCTCTTATGGTCGTGATTTCCACTGAAATATCTGATTAAAATTTTGCTGAATATGAAGAAATTGGTTCTGGATTTAATTTCAGTCTTGCTCTTTAAAAGTGCTGGGTACTGTTCTGTTTTATTGAAAACATGTTTGGGCCATGTATTTATCTTGATCTTTCTTTGTAAAACTTACTTTTCCTTTTTTTTCCCATTTTTATCTTCTAGGCATTTCAAGAAGAAGTATAATATTTATTTGGTTTTTCTTCCTGAACTTTTATTCATGATGTGCATCTTTGGCTACCTTGTGTTTATGATCTTCTTTAAATGGTTAGCGTATTCTGCAGAGGACTCTACATCTGCTCCTAGTATTCTGATTCAATTTATTAACATGTTCCTGTTTCCTGGTGGTGAAACAGAGGTCTTCTACACCGGACAGGTTAGTAGCGTTCTTACAAGCTTCTGAAGATCCTGTTGTTCCCTATGCAGGTAACACTTTACCAGTCATGAAAGGCTGATGGCTGAGTGTTGCCCTAGGAAGGGGAATGTATCGGACTAAGGGGAAATTGAATAAACATTATGATTAAATAACATATTTGCTCTTTATTTGGTTGTAAGATTTTACGTAGTGATTTGTGAAAATACCTATTTCTAGAACAAAATCTCCCAGGTTAAAATTAAGGCTAGAGAACAGAGTCTCATGCTTGTAATTTTGATGCTTTTCTATGTGCTATAAATAATCTTACTAAAGTGAGTATCAGTAATGCCTTAATCTAGAACCCAGTCCTGAAGATGCTGGATGTCTGTAACCCAATTTAAGGGCCTGATTAAGTAAAATACTTATGTGCACGTTCAATTTGGAGTATGTGCCCACTGAAATCAGTAGTACTTTTCTTACGCTTAAACAGGCCTTTAAAGGAAAATGGGGAGGCTTTTCCTACTTTTGATTTTGTGATCTAATCTCATTTTCTTTCTTTCCGCTCCAAACAGGTTGCGCTACAGAGGTTTTTACTTAGTATTGCTTTTCTTTCTGTTCCTGTAATGCTTTTTGGTAAACCACTTTATTTATATTGGTTGCACAGTGGAGGCCGAGGCATTAGAATGTACAGGGTAAGTACTGAGAGACACTTACACATTTCTTCAGTATAGGAGAATTCAGCTGGTGGTGTATTGCATATAGAGTAATGTCCTTACTAGATATTTCTACTCAACTTGGAAAGTTTTTGACTGTAACACATAATAGTGCTTTGCTCCTCTAGCTCTCTTTTTGTCTTTGCCCATGACTACTTTAAATAAATTTTAAAATTGACACTGGCAGTCCACTTAAAGACACAATGTGTTTCCAATTTGCAGAGTGGCTACAAGCTAATTCGAAAAGAAAGTGAAGAAGAACTTTCTCTGCTAAGATCTCATGATGTAGAAGAAGGCAGCAGTCATTCAGACAGTGGGCACAGAGAGGGGGACGGAGAGGAGGTAATGTTTTTACTTAATCTCTGCTTTGTACATCCTTAAAAGCAAATCAGAAGTGGAAGATCAAGAAGATAACCTGTACATTGAGTCCCGGGAAGTTTTCAATTGAATGAGCTGAACTTTTACAAAGCCCTTGATGCATGAATGCAATTTACTTATTTTTATTTGTTGCTATTTTATGATTATTTCTTGGTATATTCAGATTGCTACAGTAAACCACAGTCTCTCTCTAGTGGAGAACAGGAGAGTGCTTTATTTGCATCTATAGACTTTGCATCTAAGACTACAGTTTTTCTTGAATTGAAGAGTGGGATAAAAATCCTGGGTTTTGTATGGTTTTATGGATTCTTAAAATCAAGGCAAGAGGACAACTGCCCAGCTTCCTGTTAATTAATCTTGGCTTTTCATCCAGACAAAAGTCGTCTTATGTCTGCAAATTACATCTTGTGATGAGGATTATTGCTAATGGGGGTTGGGAGACATGAGCTGCATTTCTAGTCCCCAGCTATTGCTGCTGTTTAGTTTGGCCAAATTTTTAAAGGTCTTGTCTGATTCCACTGATTTCATGTGAATTGAAAGACAGAAAGGTGCTTCAGTTTCCCAGTGTGCAGACTATGTATAGTACTTGCTTCACTGGGGTAGTAGACTCTTGCTTCTTATGTATAGAAAATACTAGAATTGTTTGCTTAAATAAATTGTGTCATAGTTCCATTCAAAGTAAGTGTTGAAACTTGCAGTAATATCAGTCTTGGAGCTCTTAGTTAGCAACAAGTACGTATATTTAGAGTTTACAGTATTAACGTAGTTATTTTTCTATCACTAGCATTACTAATAATTAATCCTGGTCTTAAAGATGCAAAAATTGACATTGTAAACTTACAACATCAATAGAATGGGAATTAGAACCATGACTGGTTTTACTACTTAGAGTTTTCAAGTATTAGATCATAATCCTTGTGGAAAACATAAACTGCATTCATTTTTATCTATCAACAAAGTAATTGGGGAAACTAACTGGAAAACTATAGCATCTGATTTTTTTTTAATGTTGCCTCTGTAATAAGGATCTTAAACACAGCAGATCTTTTTTTTACTTGATGTGAAATGAATGTATTACCCTTTAATGGAATATTTCTTCCATGTATATTAAGCTTTGCAGATGAATGTTTTTGTTCTCTCATGTTGTACTACGTTGTTTAAATGGATACAAATGTATTTTTGTATTTTAGCTTAATTTTGCAGACGTTTTTATGAATCAGGCAATTCATACCATTGAATACTGTCTAGGATGTATTTCTAATACAGCCTCGTATCTGAGACTCTGGGCATTAAGTCTTGCTCATGCACGTAAGTGGGGTTTTTATTGGTTGGTTGTTGTTTTTCCATCTGTCTGGATTTTTAATGCTGGTTAGAGGGGGGCTGGCCTGTTGAAGTGAGACTACTATGAAATTATCTTTTTCTTAATCTAAAAAGAATCCCTATTTAAACTAATAATGATCTATGGAAAGTCCCCAAACTAAAATTGTGACTTACTGTTTGGAATCTAGTAATTTTCTTCATTGATTGTAAAGAGGCCGATTATCTGAGCACGGTGTAACCTCACATAATAGTGCACCAGTAGTCACAGTACCATTTCCTATTTTCCATTGATTGACCAGTTTGGAAGGTATTTAGGCACTTGCTAAAGTCTTAGTGTCATGGTGTAAAATGTTGACATCGGTAGATCTTATTTTGAAACTGAGATGTACCTTTAAGTATTTGGGGGGAGGGAGAGGGGGGCAACTAACTGGCGGTGGGGTTGCTTATAGTTCCCATGTTCAGCAGATCCTATAATACTGTTCAAGCTAGAATACAGGTCAGTTAGAGTAGCTCACTGGGTGAATGTATGCAGTATCAACATGGAGAGTGCTTTATTTGCATCTATAGACTTTGCATCTAAGACTACAGTTTTTCTTGAATTGAAGAGTGGGATAAAAATCCTGGGTTTTGTATGGTTTTATGGATTCTTAAAATCAAGGCAAGAGGACAACTGCCCAGCTTCCTGTTAATTAATCTTGGCTTTTCATCCAGACAAAAGTCGTCTTATGTCTGCAAATTACATCTTGTGATGAGGATTATTGCTAATGGGGGTTGGGAGACATGAGCTGCATTTCTAGTCCCCAGCTATTGCTGCTGTTTAGTTTGGCCAAATTTTTAAAGGTCTTGTCTGATTCCACTGATTTCATGTGAATTGAAAGACAGAAAGGTGCTTCAGTTTCCCAGTGTGCAGACTATGTATAGTACTTGCTTCACTGGGGTAGTAGACTCTTGCTTCTTATGTATAGAAAATACTAGAATTGTTTGCTTAAATAAATTGTGTCATAGTTCCATTCAAAGTAAGTGTTGAAACTTGCAGTAATATCAGTCTTGGAACTCTTTGTTAGCAACAAGTACGTATATTTAGAGTTTACAGTATTAACGTAGTTATTTTTCTATCACTAGCATTACTAATAATTAATCCTGGTCTTAAAGATGCAAAAATTGACATTGTAAACTTACAACATCAATAGAATGGGAATTAGAACCATGACTGGTTTTACTACTTAGAGTTTTCAAGTATTAGATCATAATCCTTGTGGAAAACATAAACTGCATTCATTTTTATCTATCAACAAAGTAATTGGGGAAACTAACTGGAAAACTATAGCATCTGATTTTTTTTTTTAATGTTGCCTCTGTAATAAGGATCTTAAACACAGCAGATCTTTTTTTTACTTGATGTGAAATCAATGTATTACCCTTTAATGGAATTTTTCTTCCATGTATATTAAGCTTTGCAGATGAATGTTTTTGTTCTCTCATGTTGTACTACGTTGTTTAAATGGATACAAATGTATTTTTGTATTTTAGCTTAATTTTGCAGACGTTTTTATGAATCAAGCAATTCATACCATTGAATACTGTCTAGGATGTATTTCTAATACAGCCTCGTATCTAAGACTCTGGGCATTAAGTCTTGCTCATGCACGTAAGTGGGGTTTTTATTGGTTGGTTGTTGTTTTTCCATCTGTCTGGATTTTTAATGCTGGTTAGAGGGGGGCTGGCCTGTTGAAGTGAGACTACTATGAAATTATCTTTTTCTTAATCTAAAAAGAATCCCTATTTAAACTAATAATGATCTATGGAAAGTCCCCAAACTAAAATTGTGACTTATTGTTTGGAATCTAGTAATTTTCTTCATTGATTGTAAAGAGGCCGATTATCTGAGCACGGTGTAACCTCACATAATAGTGCACCAGTAGTCACAGTACCATTTCCTATTTTCCATTGATTGACCAGTTTGGAAGGTATTTAGGCACTTGCTAAAGTCTTAGTGTCATGGTGTAAAATGTTGACATCGGTAGATCTTATTTTGAAACTGAGATGTACCTTTAAGTATTTGGGGGGAGGGAGAGGGGGGCAACTAACTGGCGGTGGGGTTGCTTATAGTTCCCATGTTCAGCAGATCCTATAATACTGTTCAAGCTAGAATACAGGTCAGTTAGAGTAGCTCACTGGGTGAATGTATGCAGTATCAACATTAATTATGATTTTTTTTTTTTAATAGAGTTATCAGAAGTTCTATGGCAAATGGTGATGAGGGTGGGTCTTCGCGTGGACACAACGTATGGTGTCTTACTGCTAGTTCCTGTTCTAGCCTTTTTTGCTGTGCTAACCGTTTTTATTCTTTTGGTCATGGAGGGGCTTTCTTTTTTTTTTTAATAGAGTTATCAGAAGTTCTATGGCAAATGGTGATGAGGGTGGGTCTTCGCGTGGACACAACGTATGGTGTCTTACTGCTAGTTCCTGTTCTAGCCTTTTTTGCTGTGCTAACCGTTTTTATTCTTTTGGTCATGGAGGGGCTTTCTGCTTTTCTCCATGCTATACGACTTCACTGGTAAGTTTTAACTCTTCATTTTTTCTTTATACCACTTCAGCATATACTGGCTTGTTTAAGAGGAATTTTTGTGTCAAAATATTAGGTGCCTTATTAAAAAGAAAAGTGTAAAATTCAACAGCCTAATGCTACTGTAATAGATCTATCTAATCACATTAAATAAATGGCTTGTTAGTCAAATGTGATTGTTCCTCTGGAAGATTTTCAGTAAATTCAAATATTATATTGGCTTATGATGCGTATTAACCTCTACCACATTCAGAGTTGACAAACTATGGGTCCATTTGATTTATAGTACTGCAGCTTTTTGTACTGTAGAATATTAGTAGCGTGGACAAGGATTTTTAATTTCAGTCTGGTTATATCACTGAATGGCTTCAGTCTATTTTATTTATTCGGTTCAACAGAACATTTATATTAGTGAGCAAAACTTTTGCTAAAGTGGGGCTGCCAACCCTTAAGTATTTTAATCCTTTCTTAGTCTTAATATCACGAGCTCTGCACATTGGAGTGGATTCAGAGAATAGTTAGTTGGAAACCTGATGAAATTTACAGTATAAGAAAAGGCAGACTTATAGTATATAAACACATGAGGCAGAGCTATGTGCATTGCAGAGTATTGTCCTCATAATATTGTATATTTGCAAAACTTAACTGCAACTAACCTGAAAACAAATTAGTAAGACAGAAGTGAGAAATGAGCCATTACAGCACAATGTCAGCGTGCTTGGGTCTCTTGAGAAACATGAAATTTGCCCGGGACTGTGATAGGAAGGTTAAATAGCAGCACAGAAAGCCTAAGTGACAGCATTAGGATTGCTTTTGTTAAGCCTCTTGTGTTGCACAGTTCTATCCCTTGACAATCGGTCATTTTGGATTAATATACAGATTCTGTTGTTTTCTTTTTTTTTTTTCTCTCTCTCGTTTCAGGGTGGAATTTCAGAACAAATTCTACTCTGGTGGAGGATACAAGTTTACACCTTTCTCTTTTAAGCACATTTCTTTACATTTTAATAAAGATAATACGGCATAGGTTGGTTGCTGTCAGCAGAAATGTTTGGAATTGTCTGCAAATAATCATGTGATTGGATCTCACCTATGAACGGCTTCCTGTAGGACAAAGTGTTTTTCACTGATTGCCTTATAATGCAGCCAAATAATTCTGTAATATATACCTCCCATAGAAATACATAGCAGATCTGGAGCATCTTGTATATAGATATAAAATGTACATTTTTCTTGATAAACTAATGTTGTAAATTAATTTTATTCTTTAAAAAAAAAAAGTTGTTACTGCTTGTCCTAAAACCAGTGTAGGCATTTTTTTTTTTGTTGGGGCTGTTTATTTTCTTGAATGGTTACTTTTAAGTTATCTAAAAGACTTTTCATCATATCAAACATTCATTACTAATCACATATTTAAGCCAGCTATCATCTCATGCACTTTGGGAACAATTCAGCAATGCAACAGAAACTAATGTATGTTTTCAGTATCTATTCCAGAAGAATTATGAAATATAAATTTATACATAGCAATGCAACGTGCTCTTTTCTGGCCGTATTTAAAATTGCACCGAAAGTGTTAACTGTTTGTTCTGCCCAGAGTTATTACTTCAGTCTTTCAGAAGCCACAGTGATACTTACTGTTATGGAAGAAGGCAGGAGTAGAAGTGGAGACTTGGCAGTATTATCCCTCTTATTTCCCTGTAGTGAGGAGCTTTCCCCTACGTGCTGTTCCGCAAAGCGAGTTGTGTGCAGCCCCTCACTTGTGGTGACGTTGATGGGTAAAAGCCTCAGAAAAAGTCTCGCACTGTCTGGATGAGGACTCAAATAAAAGAATCCAACTGCCTACGAGCAATTTTTCTCCCGGGTTCTGTTTTTACAGTGTGGTCCCGTGCAGAGTTTCTACTCCTAGGAGTAACTTTTGCACGGGGAATGAAGAACGGGCCTCGATTTGTGTTTGGCTGTAAGGACGTACATACAGTGTTACTTACCTGATGCTGTTGAACCAAATTTTATACTGAATGAGAGGTGGAAAGGGGTCGTTTTGTATTATTTTTTGTATAGTGTGAAAATGGGGATATTACCAGAATTTTTTAACATCTGTGCCATAAGAACAGCATAAGTTAAATTTTGCACTTGTTTCATACTAATTCCGAATAATAAAACCTCGTTTGCGCTGTTAGCAGCACCTTATGTTTGCGCGTAGCCCTGTCCCTGCACCTGGCAACGCTGGAGGGGGACGGCCTTGGCCTGCGGCCCGCTGCCC